AAAAAAAGCAACTCGTTAACTTAAATAAATAATACACACAATAATATGTATATATATATATATATATATATTAATCGAACAATATTATCACACAATAATATATATATACTAATCAAGTAATATTAACAATTAGACAAATTTGACAATTAATATAAATTAGACATTTAATATCAATAATAATAATAATAATAATAATAATAATACTCGAAAAATCCATAATTACACGGGGCATTACATTGGGAGTGCATGGTAGTCTTGTATGGGCTATCCGGGATATGATGGGATGGAGTTGGAAATTAGAGCTACAACATATCTTTAGAGAATCTAATTTCTCGGCAGATCTCCAGGAGGCCTGCAACGCTTCGAAGTTCCACCAGTTGGTTTACGATCTTGATTAGAACATGATATGTTTGGTGTAGCCTACCTTCACATAATAGGAACATAGTTTCCGCTGTTCCTCCCCTTTTTGTACCCAAAAAAAATAAAAAATAAAAATACTTGTGACGGAAACAATCATATTAAGAATATAGAAAATGCATATAATCATCTATTCGTCTTAACTTTATGAATATTAACAAGAAATTTGGGTTTACAACTAATTTCCAAAGATTTGAAGTACTTTATTGAACTCTTTTATTTGAATATACAATAAGTCAAATTTCCAATGGCAATTTAAATTACCATTCAAGTAGGTTTTGATAATTATAACTTATCACCCGTTGAAGCCTTTTTTTTTTTTTTTTGCATCTTCAAATCTAACATGAGACTGAAATGGAGTTGACTTGTTTGTACCTGCGTTAAATAAACTTTATCGATAACTAATCTTAATAATACATATTAGTACAACACCCGTGTATTACACGGGTGCTTATTAAAAAATTATTCTTAAATTTTAAAATTAATGAGAAAACTATATTAAATTTAGTTTACTTTTTTACAAAAAAAAATATATTACTTATATATTAATGATATGTGTTACTTCTGACTTACACTAGTACGTACCCCGTGCGATGCACGGGACAAAAATATTAAATGAGTTATTTTCACAGCCTTGTCCGTTTAAGTCTAAAAAGTAATAATGTTATTATCTATTTTCTACCTCTTTTAATCAACGTTATGTCTAAAAAATTATTAAGCCGCCCTCTGGCAAATATGTATGGAGTTATGTGTCTGTGTCTCATAAGTCACAAACATTATGAATAACATTACAACAAATTATTCATTCAAACTTTTATTCATTGCAAATATATTAAAATAGTTTATATAACAACTATTAAATA